GATTCCATATAGACATTACAGAGCAGAAAGAAAAAAAATTAACTAATTTGTTTTTTTATTGAAATGTACAGAATTGAAGAAAAATAAACAGAAAATTTAAAGACATTTATATTGATTAGTGGTTTTATATTTTCTTATCACATAAGTTTGTTAATTTGCTAACTAGTTATATGTAAGATAAGTATCTTCTACTCCATGAACCATTTTTCTATTTTTTTATTTATAAGGATAATTATTGGAAAATAAAACATATCATTATTTACACATGCACCAATTTATGGTTCTAGAATTCTAAAAATATCGCCGAACGCAGAAACCAAGCCTTGGCCAATCTGAAATACTCTGACGTCGTCGTACTTACATTGAAAACTAAACATAACCTATATGATACATATTCTTGTTTACTTTTGTTTTCTTAACATAAATATTTAAAAGCACCTAAGACCACGTTATAATTCAGAATATAATATTTTAATCTATTAAAATAGGTAGAAAAAATTTAAAACTTTATTAAAGTATAACAAAATGATTTATTATTTAGAGTGAACGCATTCACTTGTATTATACGCTTCTTGTCATGATATATTTTAAAAATTATTATAGGGACCAAACGCTAAAAAAAGATCAAATATCTAGACACGTAGTTCAAAACTTGTTTTGATTAGATCTACATGGGTTTTAACTCAAAAACTAATTATTCATCACACACAACAAATCTTAAATCATGATACTAATACTTAGGTATATTTGGTTGATATCTTGAAAATTAAGAAAAGATACTACACAACTACTAATAGAGTATTTAAAGTATTTATTAATTTAAAGAGTTTACATTAAAATATGTTCAAATACAATAAAACGCTAAATTATATTTATACATTTATTCACAAGAGGAGTAAATACATATGAGTTGAAAATCATTTTGAGCTTATCTGGGATTAATTTCTAAATTCAACATATAATATGATGACTCACAACATTTAAATAACAATATTTTTTAATTTCTTCTAAACAATTTTCTTCAGAGACATTACAAGCTCTAATATAATGTAAAGAAAAGGGTCTTAAACTAATTTTACAAAGTAGCTCTAACCTATAATTAACAATAAACTTTTTAAAATTAGAATGTTCATCAATACATCATTTAGCATGTTTATGGGAGATCTTCAATTCTAGAAGTTTCGAAAACATATACTGTTCTCTTCGTAGAAATTTATAAGTTCTTTTAATTGTTGTAAATTAGCCAAATGTTTCTCTAGTAAAAATTTATATCTGCTGTAGAGATCTTTCTCCTTTCACCTCAGAAACAATCTACAGTGGGTCATGATGAATTGGTTATGTCCTGGCGCTCTCATATCGACATACACACAAGCAGCTGTCTTGATGATTACTAATCGATCGTATGTTTGTTTCCTTCCCTATCACACCAAACTAATTCATTTTGTTTAAACTTGTTTATATTCAATTCTAAAAATAGAATCTTACGTAACGACAACCGCTATCTCTTTCCTGGAAAGCACCAGATTTCGTCACTAAGACTTGTTTAAACTCGTTGAATACTTCATCCAGATTTATTATTTCACAAACAACATCATATCGGGAATTAAACGATTTAATATGCTTCTTTTGTTCAGATCTAATATGTGAACAAGAATAATTCCATATTAATTTGATGGAGGTATGAATCGATATATGTTCCTGAAATGGCATGCAATAGTATCTTTAAGAGCATCTAAATAATAAGGATATATTATTCGGATGTGATTCAGAGGTTATCTTATAAGATTTAATTCGATTTTAAAAGCACACCTAACAAGCTGAATTTCAGGCTCTAATTCTACACAACACTGATTTTATGTTGATGACTTAAGCAGTGTAGATTACACTCATACACAATGAATGTGCATTTTGTGGATTTATACAGACTGTCTAGAAAAATATTTATTACTCGTAAGTTTAATTTATATTGTAATTATTGAATTTTATATAAATAATTTTATATAGATCAATATTAATATTTACATTTATACTAACATGTATGTTAACACTAAATGTTACTACTACAGGCTGTCTAGAAAAAATGTTTATTGTTTGTAAAGTTTATTTTATAATTTTATATAGAACCCGTATTAATATTTATACTATGTGTGTTATCACTATTTTTAAATGTTACTATACAGGCTGATTAATATTTATACTAACAAACTGTTGTTTATTACTCGTAGAAGTTTATATTGTAATTTTATATAGAACTCGTATTAATATATATATTAACAGTATCTATTTTTGTTATTAATATATTTATACACACACGCTATCCAAAAACACACGTCTACAGCTATTCATTAGTGGGCAGAATCGTCATTTCCTTTTAAAACCGCATCAAAAATTTCTGATATATCTACACCCGGCATCCGGCGGATGTAGATAAGACCTATGCACAAAGTTTAATTTTGCCCAAATATTTATCGCTCACGCTAAAACCGAGCGTTGATTTCATCACGTATTGCTTACACATATATTTTACAGTTTATTTTTTCACACCGTATATATTCAAAAAATATTTTTATGTAATTATTAATTTTTCCGCACTATATTTTCTGTTAAATTACCCAATACCATCGTTAATAATTTTTCAACGATATTTTGATGGACCATCAGGCTAATACAATTTCAAATGTGTGTTCCTGTAAGTCCAAAATTATTTCTATAGAAAAATAGATCGAACAAAAACAATATATTATGAGTATATGAGTATAGAAGATAATTAGAATAAAATAGATAATTTGAATAAATAGCAATGTAAGTTATTTAAAAATTCAAACTAATGATATATGTAAAAGTCTAAAAAAGATTACAATTATGTTACACGGTAATCAAGAGCTATATTATATGGAGTAAACGTGTTTCTTTGTAATAGCTTACCAAAAAATATTGAGAGAAAATTTCAAACTAATTGGTTTACATTTTTGAAAAATCTTTCTTAACGACAGCTATTAGGTTTGACCCGCTATAGATTCGATTAAATATATTAAACATTCAAGACCTAAGCTTTAGCCGATGTAGGGCTGACCGCTCTATCAGACCTGTTGACCCGATCAGACGGGCCTGATTGAACAGGTCTGTTACCAAACGGACCTGATTGCAACGAACCTGGTTACCTTGAACTTACGTTGAACTTGGACCTGATTGAAACAGACCCGATTGCAACAGACCCGTTCGCAACAGACCCGTTCAATCAGATCCAACAGACCCGATTGCAACAGACCCGTTCAATCAGGCCCGTTCGATCGGGTCAACAGGTCTGATAGAGCGGTCAGCCCTATATCGGCTAAAGCTTAGGTCTTTGAATGTTTCACATATTTTAGTAATCCTGTGAGTCAAGCTTTCATCGCTTCATATGTCAATCAGTTTAGGCTTTCGCGGCCATCGTTTGAAGAATTTTTGGTTTCGGGTTATTAGGCCGTCGTCAGTTCAAAGATTGCTTCTAACGTTCGCTGCTTTAGTGGCTAGCATCTTGAAAGGTGTGTTTGCTCCGATTGCTCACTAGACTGATGCCCCGCGTCGGCGTAGCGCGTATTTATGCGTCGGCGGAGGGCGTGGCTTGTTCGGGTAGTAGTTCTTCGGAACTGGTCTACTTCTCTATTATACTTTGGTCCTAGATATAGCTGGATGCCAAATTCTGTTAAGGTAAGTTTCTTCCTTCCTGTTGAAATTATTTGGATGTTTGTGAATTTCAACAGCTTCCCTGACAGACGAGATGATATCCAGATGTGCTTGGCTTGGGTGTCTTCGAATTGGATTTTCATGATCACCATCTCTTAGAGCATGTTGTTCTGCTACGGCTGACTTCTCTGTTTTGCTAATCTGCAGTTTCTCTTGTGTTCCGTAAGTCTCGTTCTACTGAGCGTTTATTGAACCTATATACGCTACCACCTGCCCAGGAACAAGGTATATGAGTAGATCCCTGCAGAGGATAATGGTTCTCTTTGTCTTTTGCTGGTCTTAAGCAGTCCCTTATTTTTCGGGTAAGGTTTGTATATGGTTTGATGTTATGCTTCTTGAGAACTTTACCAATCCTATCGGTGACCTGGAAACATATGGAAGGAAGGCCTTGGTAATGATGTTTTCCTGTTCATTGGCGTCAGGTCTCCTCTGCTAGTGCCAGCGCCGCCTTTATTTCTCTGTCATTATAGCCATTGGCAAGAAAGGCTTTATTTAAACGACTTAGTTCCTCTTGGATGTGTTCATTAGCACAGATACGTCTTGCCCTGTTGCTGGCCGATAATCCCCTGTTTTTGGCTTGGATGGTGATTTGGTAGTTTGTGTAAGTACCGGTCTGCCAGCATGAGTGGGTTTCGATACACGGTGTGATCCAAGGTCGCCATTTCTCTTGACAGCTTACATCGAGGAAGGCCAGTTGGTTGTTTACTTCGGTTTCCATGGTAAATTTTATGCTCTGGGCTCTGCAATTCAGGTGATGAAGGAAGTCATCTAAGTCGTCCATGTTCCAAACCACAAATGTATCGTCCACATGGCAAGCGACTTCAGGGCAGGATGACTCTAGCGCTTTTCTTCAAATCTCTCCATAAAGAAATTAGCAATTATTAGGCTGATTGGGCTACCCATTGCGACACCTTCTGTTTGTTCATGGTAATTGCCGTTTCCATAAGAAATAGCTACCAGTCAGACACACTCGGAAGAGCTCCCGCGATGTCAGGTGGGAATGATTCCTTGATTAGATCCATTGACTCGCCTAGGGGTACTCTCGTGAATAGAGATACCACATCGAAGCTTACCATGATGTCAGATGGTTCCAGTTTTATATCTTTTAGCTTTTGGACGAACGCAAAGAAAAAGCGCTAGAGTCATCCGTTCTGAAGCCCGCTGTATGGTTTTGTTATGTGGACGATACATTTGTGGTTTGGAAACATGGACGTGACAGCCTAGATGACTTCCTTCATCACCTTAATTCGCAGAGCCCGAGCATAAAATTTACCATGGAAACCGAAGTAAACATCCTCAACTGGCCTTCCTCGATAATGCTTGTCAAGAGAAATGGCGACCTTTTGGATCACACCGTGTATCGAAACCCACTCGAACAGACCTGGTACTTACACAAACTATCAAATCACCATCAAGCCAAAAACAGGGGGATTATCGGAACATTAGCAAATAGGGCAAGACGTATCTGTGCTAATGATTTACATCAAGAGGAACTAAGTCATTTAAATAAAGCCTTTCTTGCCAATGGCTATAATGACAGAGAAATAAAGGCGGCGCTGGCACCTAGGGAGAGGAGAGACCTGACGCCAATGAACAGGAAAACATCATTAATAAGGCCTTCCTTCCATATGTTTCCCAGGTCTGCCGATAGGATTTCGGTAAAGTTCTCAAGAAGCATAACATCAAAACCATATACAAACCTACCGAAAAATAAGGGACTGCTTAAGACCAGCAAAAGACAAAAGAGAACCATTATCCTCTGCAGGGATCTACCATATACCTTGTTCTGCGGTAGCGTATATATTGGAACTACCAAACGCTCAGTAGGAACGAGACTTACGGAACACAAGAGAAACTGCAGATTAGGGCAAACAGAGAAGTCAGCCGTAGCAGAACATGCTCTAAGAGATGGTGATCACAAAATCCAATTCGAAGACACCCAAGTCATTGCCACAACATCTGGATATCATCCTCGTCTGGTCACAGGGAAGCTGTTGAAATTCACAAACATCCAAATAATTTCAACAGGAAGGAAGAAACTTTCTACCTTAACAGAATTTGGCATCAGCTATATCTAGGACCAAAGTAGCAGCACAGAGAAGTAGACCAGTTCCGGAGAACTACCACCCGAACAAGCCCGCCCCCTCCGCCGACGCATAAATACGCTACGCCGACGCCCGGAGGCATCAGTCTAGTGTGAGCAATCCGGAGCAAACACACCTCTGAAGATGCTAGCCACTCAAAGAAGCGAAACGTTAGGAAGCAATTTAACCGACGACGGCCTAATAACCCGAAAAACCAAAATTCTTCAAACGATGGCCGCGAAAGCCTAAACTACTACATTAGACAGCTATTAGGTTTGACCCGCTATAGATTCGATTAAAAATATGTGAAACATTCAAAGACCTAAGCTTTAGCCGATATAGGAACTGACGCTCTATCAGACCTGTTGACCCGATCGAACGGGCCTGATTGAACGGGTCTGTTGCGAACGGGTCTGTTGCAATCGGGTCTGTTGGATCTGATTGAACGGGTCTGTTGCGAACGGGTCTGTTGCAATCGGGTCTGTTTCAATCAGGTCCGTTCAATCAGGTCTGTTTCAATCAGGTCTGTTGCAATCAGGTCTGTTGCAATCAGGTTTGTTTTCTATATTTACTTATAGGATTACTTACTTTAGAAAGGCGCTATAGGTAAAGTACATACTGTTAGACTAATTTTACCCTTATTTTTTTAGTAAAGTGATATTTTTCGGTTTAATTCCAACAGTTTGAACTTTGTTGTTTTTATTTTTAATTAAATATCAATCTATCTATCATTGTAGAAAGGGTCGTTATAGTTTTATTTGACTGTTTACCTATAGGTTAATTTTTGACTTAGTACATTACATTTGGCGAATTAAAGAGCCGTCTGGATTAATTTTGACTTCTAGTGCTCCGTGCTGCACTACTCATAGTAATTTGTTTGGAGTGAATGAGTGTGCTGATGGTCCATCAACAATGTTGTTATGCCCTTAACGCGGCGTTGGTAGCTTAAGATTGTTTTTTGTAGTAAAATTATTATTACAGAAAGCGATCCAACTAAATTAGCTACACCTCGTATATTAACCTTATTCTACACACGTCGTATATTCCAATACGTGGTGTTATCAGTTCCTGTCGTCATTCAGCCTTCACATTATATTTTTAGCTAAAATCATCTGTTTGTTTCTAACTTTTCATGGTACTGCATCAAGAAATTTACTGTGTATTTTCAGTGCGTTTAGTGAAAAGGGCTATTGAAGAAGAAAAAGGGTGTAAGTGTATGTGTTGAGTGAATGGATAATAATACATATAAACCTCGTAAGTACGTATTTTTAGTAATACGCTTTGTTTTTTGATTTAATACTCTTAAATTAATTTTCGTTTCGATAAATATTAAAGTTTTTTACATTACAAAGGGTTTTTCTGTTTATTTCTGCCGCTGTCACACCTAGTTTTTTTTTGGCGTGCTGATTTTGACGTTTGACAGCCGATGTTTACCGAAGTTAAACGGTGGGCTATTGTCCTTGTATATATTTTAAAAAATTTTCTGTTTATTTCGGAACTTGCGCACCACACCTAGCGTCGATTTTGACGATGTTTACCGAAGTTAAACGATGGGTTATTGTCCTTGTATATATATTTTAAAAATTTTCTGTTTATTTCAGAGCTTGCGCTTAGAGCCACACCTAGTTGACATTTGACGTTTGACTTAATACTTTTAAATTAATTATTTTTGTTGATAGATTCTCAGAACTGTTTTGCTTTTAGTCATCTTTAAATTTTTATTCTTATAGCGTTAACGAAAAATTCAGCTTGTATATATTTTATTAAAAATTTTTCTGTTTATTTCGGAGCTTGCGCACCACACCTAGCGTCGATTTTGACGCGGCGTTGGGGCTTAAGATTGTTTTTGTAGTAAAATTATTATAAAAGCAATCAACTAAATTAGCTACACCCTGTATATATTAATTTTATATTGTTTATAATATAAATATTCTTTTTTAGACTCCAAAACCTGTATTTGTTACGGTCTTATCAGCAACAACCGTTTATAGAAAAACAATAATTTTAAGCACTCATTCGGCCTTTTCAGTTTGTTTCCAACAGTTATGGCGTTAAATTACTGTGTTGTGCAAATATGTGGATAATAATAATAGCAGTAAACCCTAGTGAGTACATATTTTATATTTTACGTTTGATTTGTTTAAGTAATTTTTTTTCAGTAGAGATTCGTATATGTATGCCTTTAGTAGGATCGCTTCAATACCCTTAAATTAATTTATTCCCCGTAATACCACCATATATTCTCACTTATTTAAGACTCATCAGCAGTATATGCAAAATTTAAAACAAATTCTATTTGAAATGTTTTTCTAATAACAATTCATAATAATCGCAGCCAAACACATCACGACGGCGGCAGATTGCAATAATACAAATTAAGTTTTCAGAAAAACAATTAAAAGAACTTATAAAATTTTACGAAGAGAAACAGTATATGTTTTCGAAACTTCTAGAATTGAAGATCTCCCATAAACATGTTAAATGATGGGCTGGATGAACATTCGATTAATTTTTAAATCAAAAGTTTATTGTTAATTATAGGTTAGAGCTACTTTGTAAAATTAGATTTTCGACTATTCTGCAAAAACAAGTATTAACGTTTGTTGTGATATATAAATACAATTTGTAACAAAGTTATGAAACATACAAATTAAATGTTTTACGACTATTCTACAAAACAGGTGAATAACGGATATACCAGGGTGTCAGAAATGAGTGCAGATATTTTAGGGGTGGTAAGTCTGGTCAAAATAAACATATTTTCTCTTTACCATTTTTAAAATAAATTTGAAAATAACCGAGTTATTTAACATTGAAAATTTAAAAATAATCGCAAACATTTTGAGAACCATAAACCTTGAACAACTACATCCAATTACGGATCAAGCCCGGATTTCAAAGTTAATTCGGCGCACTGTGTTCGCCATATGGACGAGAAAGTATATGTTTAAAGTAAGTCATAAAATCATAACACCTGAGGAGTTTGCAGAGATGCATTACATTTTTTAAGATTGTGATATTATTACATAAAATAAGTAAAAGTTAAATATTTAAAAGTTAAATTAAAAAAACTTACCCAACATTAAAAAGATACTTTATGACAGATCGCTCTAACTGCGGCAGTTCTCTTTTTCGATACACACATAACTAAAATACACTTCATTGTGCTGCTTTACTTGTATGTGCTATTATAAAAACTGCTAAATAACAGTCCCCATTTTTAACCCAACACATTATTTTTCATATAGGCTTCATCACAATTTGAACCACTGATTTACAAAACACACAGTGAAAAGCACACATTAAACATTACTTTGAATACCTTTCTGGATGAATAAATGTTTAGCGTTATTGTCTCTTACCGCCACTTTACAAACTACTTTCCAATCTAGGAGAAAATACATGTTTCATCAACAATTTTAAATTAATTAAAGCGTTCTGTTATAATTTTTTGTTTTTCACTATTTTTCGATGTATTTCGACAATTAAAAATATTATATTCTGAATTATAACGCAGTCTTAGGTGCTTTTTAAATATTTTATGTGTTAAGAAACAAAAGTAAACAAGAATACTATGTATCATATATAGTTATGTTTAGTTTTTCAATGTAAGTAATGACGACGTCAGAGTATTTTCATATAGATTTGTCAAGGCTTGCTCGCGTTCGTCTTATTATTTTTAGAATTCCTAGAACCATAAATTGGCATGTAAATAATGATATGTTTTATTGCGTGTCGAGCTTGCATCATGCGAGGTTGCCGTAGTTTCAACAATTTCAAATTCAAAGACACTCGAAGCAATCAAATTCTTATTAAATTTAAAAATAAAACAGAAAGCATGAAAGGAAACAAACAAAACACAATGAATTGATTATTGATAAGGTCATAAAAAAAAATTATAAAATGTTTATCGTAATTCAGAATGTACATATCGAAAACAGCCCGACGAATAATCAATTCATTTTAATTAATATATATATATATATATATATATATATATATATATATATATATATATATATATATATATATTAACATATATATATATATATATATATATATATATATATACTGCTATATATATATATATATCTTCTTATATATATATATATATATATATATATATATACTATATATATATATATATATATATATACTATATATATATATAAGCAGAAAGTAGTCTCGACTGACTAGTGAGAAATGTGTTTTGGGATTTAGTGGGGTTGCAGTCGGAATTGCTAACAATCCAAGTAAATGGACTGATGAGGATTACTTACTTTTTCATGAAATTCCTGTGAATTTAATAAAAAATTGTGAAGGTAAAATTTGGTACAATTTAATGAATTTTTTGTGACAGTTTTTCGGTTTGATTAATATGAACTTTGTTGTCATATTTTTCCTCATTACCTTCTTCACATTTGGCCTTTTTCTAAAGTGTTTGCATTGCACCTCTTGTCCTTTTCAGAATTTTTAGCACATCCTAATGTTTATTCAATTGCTTATAAGAAGATTCTTTTCTGATTGCGCTCAGTGTATTTCTCAGTTTGCAGATATTTGGTGACATTTTCTGAATTGTAAATGTAATTGTATTTTTACCACCTAATTGTTTTTTGCTCTCGTTGCTGGTAAGGGTGTTTTATTAATGTTTACTAGTGTTTTTTTAGTGTTGTGCCTTGATCCTCCACTTTTTCATGACCACCCACACCATTGGTTTTTATGAATACAATTGTGGACATGCCACAGCCTTGTTCGACATCCATAGATCACTTTTACTAACTTGACTTCTGACAAATTGACTTTTGACGTTTTGGATGTCGCGGTTGTCGCCTGTCAATTGTGTTTTGCACGCCTCCACGCTTCCAGTTGAGATTCAAAAATTCTTTAATTAAAAATTTCACATCTGATAATTATTCTAATGTTCTAACTTATATTTGGCGGCTTAACCGCCTTATAAGAAGTCCTTGTGGTTGACTGGTCAGCGATGCTTTCAC